CTCCCGCTCTGCTCCTCAACAGTAAACACGTCTGGCCCTGGCCCGTGGGGCTCAGCTGACTGGGCACCGCCCAGTAAACCGAAAAGTCTCGGTGTGATTCCCCGTCAGGCCGCCTGTCTGGGTGGCTGGTTCCGTCCCCAGGGGGGTAGGAAAGGCAAAGATCAATGTTTCTCTCTCACATCCGTGTTTCTCTCTCTAACGCTCTCTCTAAAATCAATAAGCATGTCCTGCGTTGAGGATTACAGAAAGCAAACATCTGAAATCCAACCCACTTTGTAAAGAAGTCACCTAATAGAACAACAAAAGGTGGGGAAGTTACCCAAATATCCATCAGTCCATGAAGAAATGAACAAATCACGGCACCCAGACTAAGCTGCACCGTGACGCAGCGGAACTCGGGACGCAGCGTGATTCCCGCGAACGCGTGTGCAATCCCCAAGAGGCCGCCGTGGGGCGCCCTGACGGACCCCGGGGGCCCAGGGAGTGGAAGGCAGGGGGGGGGGGGCAGAGGAGGCGTGTTGATGTGTTCTGAGTGTTCTTATTGTCTGTTCCCTTGTAAAGAAAGAAAAAGTCGTGGGAAGGGTGATCTGGGAGGAGAACCAGCAGGAACAGCAGCCTGCACCCTTGTAAGCAGGCCCGAGCCCGGAGCCGCGGGGCGCGGCGCGTCTGCGGGGAGAAGCATCCGCCGAGCCCGGGAGGGGACCCGCGTCCGCTCTGAGGGGGCGCTTCTGTTCCCGGAGTGGGTGCCAACGAGAAAGGGTGTTGCCACTCTCAACAACGATACGTTAGGGCTGGTGCCCTCCCCCGAGGCAGGGGTCAGGCCGGAAGGGCTCCCGCGCAGGCCCTGCCCTGAGTGCTCCGGGAGACCCGCCTCCCTCGCGCTCCCAGGGGCGGCCTCCTGGGGCTCTGACGCCGCTGGCCCCCTTTCGTCCTGGCGCTGGGGGCCTGAAAGCCCCCACTGCCAGGCCTTGCAGCCGCACCGGTCTCTAACTGTGTGTGTATCGTCGTCGTCGGCACGGTCGCAGACGCCCGCATTGCCCCTCCGCCGCCTCCACCCAGCATCCCCCGCCTCCCCGGCCTTCACCGCCGGTGTCTGTGGGTCGCGCGCTCAGGCTCTTTGGCTGATCCCGCCCCGTCTTCCATCCAGCCCCGCCCCCTCCCACCCCAGGACAGCTGTCAGTCTGTCCTCTGCTTCCGTGTCTCTGTCTCTATTTTGTTCATGGGTTCAGTTTGTTCATTCGAGTCCACGTTTGAGTGAGATCACACGGTATTTGTCTTTCTCCGACTGGCTTATTTCACTTAGCATGATGTTCCCCAGGTCCATCCACGCTGTCCCCAAAGGTAAACGTTTCTTCTTTTTTATGGCCACGTAGCATTCCGTTGTGTGGACGTACCACAGCTGTTTCATCCACTCGTCTACTGGTGGGCACGGGGGGCTGCCTCCAGAGCTTGCCGTGGTGAACATCGCAGCCGTGAACACCGGTGCACCTGTTCCTCCCAGTGGGTGTTTCGGGATTCCCAGTAGTGGGGTCACTGGGTCAGAAGGCAGTTCCATTTTTAACTTTTCGAGGACAGACACCACCTTTCCACCTCCCCACGCCCTCGCCCTGGACCCGGGCTGCCCCGTCCTGCGTGCCCACCACCGCGTCCCCGCCCCAGGAGTTCCAGAACAGGTGAGAGGCGAGGCTGGTAGAGGCGTCCCTGTGAGTCCTTCCGCTTCGGACCTGACATTTGAAACGTGATGCTCCCTAGGCGGGCTTGCCAGAAACAGGCCGACTGCGTTTCTTAAGCAGGTCAGCAGGTGAATGCCTGACCCCATAGGCCAGATGACCCCACAGGCCAGATGACCCCACAGGCCAGATGACCCCCGTGGTGTGGGTGACCCTGTCCTATTGGCCTGGCCTTTAGCTGTTTGGGGAGACAGTTCTGGCCCACAGCCCAAACTTGGGGTGCTGTCATCAAAGAGGCACCGGGGCCTCGCCAGTCTCAGGGGGCCAGAGAAAAATGGGGGTTGTCCCCTCCCCTTCCCCCAGCCCTCCCCATGGAACGACACCCTGAAACCCCTCTCAGGGCCGAGGGGAGTTCCCAGTTCTTCCCAGGCAGCCTGGAGGAGGCCGGGCCAAACTGCAGTTTGGGAGGAGGTTCCGCTGAGCTCCGGGCCGGGTCCCTCCCACCCCTGAACTGGGAGAAACAATGGCAGGAGCAGATGTTCACCCCCAAGCTGCAGGGAGGGAGGGAGGGCTGCGTCTCCCACACCCACTCCCGCAGGAGGAGGCCTCTGTGGATGGAAGGGGGGTGGGGAGCTGCCGGAGTGAGGGGTGGAGGCGTTCCTGTGTCAGAGGCCCAGTACCCTCCCCCGCTCCCCTCCTGAGCCGTGCTGTGTCGGGGGCTGCCTCCTCCTGCCCTCGGCTCTGTCACTACGGGCTCTGGGCCAGAATCGCAGGTGGGAGGCCGCACCTGCAGCTTCAAGGGCAGGGGCGGCACCTGGGCCTTGCTCCCGGGCCAGGCGGGCTGAGTCCCGGACGGACAGCTGCCAGGGTCCGGGGCTGCTGAGGGCCAGCCGCCCTGCCTGCCTGTCACTGCACTCCAGCTCCATCCCCTGGAGCCGCACCGAACTCTTCTGAGGGCCTTTCATTCCCTGTCGGTGCCCCTGACCGCACTCACGTCCGGCCACAGGTGGAGGGGGACAAAGCTGGGACCCTCCAGGGTTAGGATGCCTCGGCGCTTACGCCTCTGGCTGCTGGGCCAGGAGTTTCCTTTGATTTGACGGGTTTTACCTGAGAGCCCCTTAGCAGCCAAGGGGCCCGAGGGCCCATGGCCCTGGCCCATGGCCCCGAGACTGGCGGGCGGGAGGGGGAGGGGAAGGCGCAGTTCCTGACCCAGTCAGGAGGAAGCTCGGGCTCCGTCCGTCCGCCCGGGGCCCTGGGAGAGCCGGCCCCCAGGGGCTCCCCAGGGAGTAGGCTGGGCGCCCTGTAACTGGGCCCCGTGCCCTCCCTGGGTGGAACTGGAGGTGCCCCGTTTCCTCACACATGCCGCCGCCACCGCTGCCTGCCGGGGGACATTTTCACTCCTCGGTGCAGTGGGAGAGCATTTTAAATTTTTTTTCTTATTTAAGAAGAAAACAAAATAAACAAAAAATTTTAAAAATTAAAAATGTCTTATTTACTGGCGTTGGAGGGAAGGAGGAAGGAGGAGGGAGGGAGAGAAGCACGGACTTGGTGTTTCCCACGTCCACGCAGCACGCGAGCCCTCACCGGGGACTGAACCGCAGCCTTGGCGCAGAGAGCCAGGCTCCACCCAATGGAGAGGCCCGGCCAGGGCCCAGAGAGCGTTTACCAGTCACTGACGTGACGAGGATTCCGTCTCACAGCACGACCGGCGATCTGAGAACCAAGAATCATCACTCTGTGTTCCTGCAGACGAGGAAAGGGGGTCGGCTCTCAGGAAACGTACGTTTTGTCAGAAAACACCGACACGAGGAAAACAGCAAGGCCTGCAACCGTCCACCGGGGACCCCTGGACCAAACCGAGATACAGCGCGGAGAGGGCGTCCCCGGGCGCGTGTTCTGGGGAGGGGGGACGGCACCTGGGCGTCGTTCTGGATGACTTCCTGCAGCCCCTGCTGGAGGGGGACGGTGTGCTGACGGTGTGGCGGTGGGCTGAGATTCGGGTCCCCTCCTCACTCTAGGCTGGTGCTCACAGGGGTCCCTCCCGGCCTGGGGGTCTGTCCGGCTCGCCCAGAGCAGGATCCCCTCTGCCTCTCCCTAGCGGGCAGCCCGCCCCTCCGGCCTCAGACAGGTAACTTAACCATTGAGTGAAATAGAGTCAGTATCATGCCCCCAGCCGGCAATGGGGGCTCATTAATACGACTTTCCCCTCTTCTTGAGGTTCGCTTGTGGAGGTGGGGGTGAAGCCCCCACCCTGACCTCGGGCTGCCCACCACTTCTTCCTGAATGTTCCGCACGCACTCTGGTACAAGGACACGCATACAGGTTGTCTCAGCCTCCCAAGATGCCCACGTGGCTGCCTCTTTCTTGTGCCAGCTGAGGGAACGGAACCTCGGAAGGTCGGAACAGCTCTTCCAGGGTCACGGAATTAGCAGCCCACAGCAGGGCTGGGCTTTGATTGAGACTCTAAATCCCAGGCCATCAGCCCAGCCCTGGCCACTGGGTCTGCCCTCCACCAGCCCTGGCGCAGAAAGCTCCGGAAAGGGCGTTCGAGCTCAGAGCCTGGGCGTGCTCTTTCTGGGGAGGCCTAGCCAGCTGCTCTCCGGACCCCAGCCAGTCAGGGTGAGCGGCCGCCCGCCGGGGTCCAGCTGGAAAGGAGAGGCTGTGTCCGCGGCTGGGACTCTACCAGGGAAAGGAGACACGGTGCGTGGCTGCTGACTGAGCGCAGGGGCGGGTGGGGGAGCTGGTTCGTGGAGATGGGAGGGTGAGGGGGGTGGGCAGGCACTGCCAAGCTCGCAGATCCGGTGCCATTCCCGTAAACAAGCGCAACCTTCAGCTCCCAGGAGGGCTCCGCAGCACACGTGCGCCTCGGGGCCCCTCTCCCGGCAGCTCCTGCAGGCGGATGCGGCTCTGCCAGCGCCGGGGCGGGCGGTGCGGGGAGGGGGGGGTCCCCAGCCCCCAGCCCCCAGCGCAGGAAGCAGAGCTGCTGAGAATCCCTCCCGCGGACGCGCCTCCCGCCCAGAGGGTCTTCGGCGGGTGGGCGGCGCAGCATTTCCTGGCCTCGTTAAGCCGGGTAATGAGCAGCTAAGAGGGAGGGTTCAGTGCCCCCGGGGCTGGCGGCTCAGGGCCCAGCGGTTTATGACCGGGGCGTCTGCAGCCGGGGACCCTCCGGGGGAAGTTAGTCCTCAGAGCCCTGGGGACTCGCGGGCCGTTTCCACAGCACAGCGAGCCCCAAGCCGGGCGCAGAGACCGCCGCGTCTACAGGGGCCTGGCTGGGGACCCGGGAGGGCGTGGGTGGGCGGTGCCGGGGCCTGCGGGAGGGCTGACGGGAGCTGCGGAGCGGTCCGGAGCCACCGGGTTAATGCCCTTGACTTAGCTCCGGCTGGGGTGTCCTTGGCAATTCCACGTGGCCCCCAGGACCTGAGTCTCGCGTTTCTTGCTTGAGTGACAGGACCGTGCGCCGTAGGCAGCTTCCTGAGACCTGGTCTGGTGCCGAGGAAGGCAGCCCACACCAGACACGGACCTGGCTTCCCTTGGGTCCTCGGTGGAGGAGCTAAAGCTCATGTCCTGGGAAACAACTGGGACGTCAGAAGCCAGGAGTGGGCAGGGGGCGGGCGCCCGGTGGAGCGAGGAAGGCTGGGACCAGGCCAGGTATTCCGGGATGCTCAAGGGCCACTCGCTGCCCAGCCCCAACCTCGGCTGCAAGCACTGAGAACCCACCCCAGTGGCACACGCATGGGCCTGCCCCCAGGCACCTGTGACTTTGCACCTGTGTCTGTCCTGCTGGTTTGCGCAGCCACCTTGCAGCCCACCTGTCAGCCGGGGCACGTCTGGGGTGCAGGGGAAGGAGCCCCTAGTAGGGCCGGGGCCCTGGAACGGCCTCCATCCTTCAGCTCCTGCATGAACGTGGGGGATCACGTGACCTGTCAGCTGTGGGGTTCCCACGTGTAAGATGAGAGCTCTGGAGGTGCCGGCCTTCAGGATGGGGTGACCCCCACTGTCCATGCTTGGTGGGGAGGGCCGCTGTTCCCGGGCCTTTCACACGGGGGGCCCGGCGTGCACTGGACCCTGGGGGACAGTTTGCCCCATCTGTTCTCTGGGGCCGGGCTGCACCCCGTGACGTGGGCTGAGGCCCACACTCCCACAATCAGTGTTTTGATCTTCTCTAATTCTCTCAGTAAGACCCATTTGGTCCCTGGCGGTTCCCTCCATTGCATTCTTGGCAGGTAGAGTCCAAGGTCAACAGGAATGTAGGGGGACCCCTCCGCTGTTGCTCCTGCCCTCACCTTCCCTTGTCCTGCTGTTTTCATCGTCCCATCTGTTCTCTCGTCCTCTGCTTGTCTTTCTCTCCCGTGTCATGGACTTATCACTGACCTATGACACTGAGTTGCATGTACGCAACGGGACGACTGGATGTCTGTGTAGACCTCGAAATGCTTCCCTCTCTAAATGACACGAGTCAGGTCACAAGTAACAGGCTGTTTCCCATTTTTCCCTCTCGCTGTAACTGCCCACAGGGCGGAAGGGCACTTGCTGGCCAGATGCCTGACCCAGGGGGGCCACTTGAGCTGCCCCAGCTCTGCAAGGACGCCTGGTGCTCTTAGAACTCCCCGGGCAGGAGGTGTCCCTGGGGTTCAGGATCAGGGAGAGCAGGCGTGGAGCTCCCACGCTGGGCCTCTGCCTTCCCTCCAGCTGGGCCGCTGAGCCCAGACGCCTCTGCCCAGCAGCTGGGCGGGCGCAGGAGCCAGCTGGCCCCGGACACGTAATCCTGGTTAAGAAGAGGAAGGGGAAAGGGCCTGTAATTTCCCAGACACGGACAACGGGAACCAGAGCCTCGTGTCAAAGAAGCCCTTTCCCTGAGAAAGGCGGGAAGAGAAAGGGGACAGAGGCGGGAAAGTGAGGGGGAAAGGCGTGGACGCGGCCCCTCGGAGCACTGAGCTCCTCAGCTGGACCGTGAGGACCCCCGCCGCCCGCCTGGCACAGGCTCTCGGTGAGACCCTCAGGGACAGCCAAGGGACACGTTCCCCGGGGTGGGGGCGGCGTCTTTCACAGGCCTGTCCCCTACCCCCGTCTCTGCTCCTTAGCAGCCCCTGTCCCTTCCTTTTTCTAAAAAATTTTTTTTGACGTGTATTGATTGTAGAGAGACAGGAAGGGAGAGAGCAAGAAACATCGACGCGAGAGAGAAGGATCCATCGGTTGCCTCCCATACCCACCCGACTGCAGATGGAACCCATGACCTTTTGGTGTCTGGATGATGCTCCAGGCACCCACGCCCCCGGCTGGGGCAGCCTGTCCCTTCCGCAGGAGGCTGGGGGCGCCTCCCTCCCTTCCCCGCCTTCTGTGTGAAGGGCTCACACCGTGCTGTGGAGGAGAGCCCGTCACCGTGGACCGGCCAGGGGCATGTCTTCCTTCTCCCACTGGGCGAGCATCCCGTGACTCCCCGGGCGGACGAGAGCGACCCACTCTGTGTGGGCAGCTGTCCGGCCGGGCTTGGCGGGGTCGGGTCGGGGTTGTTCGTCTTCCCGCAGCTGCAAACGGCTGTGGGTGTTTTTCTCGGCTAAAGCCTCGGCGACGCGGGGAGGCTGCTTCGTGACGAGGTGCAGTTGTGGGAGACACGGACATATGGCAGAGCCTCTGTCCCCGAGGGGCGGCGAGCCGTCTGGCTGAAGCCCAAGGCCCTGGGCCGGAACAATGAAGGGACGGGGCACAAAGAAGCCCAGAGTGGAGCCCAAGCGTGCGACCGGCCGGGGAACCGGGGCCCTGGGCTTCTCCCGGTGACGGTCCCTAACGGTCCTCTCAGAGTCGGCCGAGGTCTGTCGAGCTCCCGCAGGGGGCCCGGCACTGGCCTGGGCACTGGGCACTGGGCACGCTGCTGGGAGCGAGGCAAACAGGGGCCACCCTGGAGGAGCGCCCCCTGCAGGCCTCACCTCGTCCTCATCCACACGGTTTCATATCCTAGAGCTCATTTACTTATTATGTATGTGCGTGCCATCTGTATTCACGGAGGACCCGAGGCAGCTGATACGTGACGGGACCCCAAAACCAAACACCGGGTGGATGGTCGAAGACCAGGGTGGCACTGGAAAATCCGGGTTCAGGCAAATGCTGTGACATCTGAGCCTGCACCTCAGCTCCGAGCCTCCTGGTGGCTGTGTCAAAAGGGGAAAGAGTGCGTCTGACCCAAGGAAGCATTTCCTGAGGGTCCCTTCTTTCCCTCCTCCTCTGTCCCACGCCCTGAGCCTCACGCAGGCGCGCTCGCTTCGGCAGAAGCGGCGCCTGGACACCCTGCCTCCTGACCCCGGGTGCGGACGGCTGGCCGGGCTCCCAGCGCCCCACTGACGGCACCTGCCCTCAGCATCCTGTGCCCGGGCCCCTCCCACCCGGCCCTGTCACAGCCTGTCACAGCCCCTCGGGCGCTGCACTCGGTCCTCGTTTCCGGCCAGCTTCTCCCCCCCTCCCCAGGGCCGGAGCCTGTCCCTCATCCGCGCCCCAGGGCCCATCAGAGTGCCCCGTGCAGTGTCCCCAATCAAAGTCTGCTCCCAGCGATTTTTTTCCGCCATGAATTATGTGCCAAGCAGCACGCGAGTCGCCTCATTCGTGTGTTATCTCGTGTTATCTCTCAACAGCCGCCCTGCAGCCTCCAGGCCGTGGTTTTACAGACGGGGGAGACACTGAGAGTCGGCGGCGAGGAGGAGGGCGCTCCCAGGCCCGGCCCCAAACTCTGCCTGCCTGACCGCAAAGCCCTCGCAGCAGGGGAGGCACCTTTCACCTACGACCTTTCACCGGAATTCCTCTCCTCTTTAGCCGCCCGCCTGGTGGACCCTTGAGGGAAATGGAGGAACATTTCTCTCTCTCCCCACAGTGGCTCCCACAGGAGGGGTGTGTGAAATCGTTTTTGGCGATGAGAGCTCTTTTCCTTTTAAGGTTGGAAATCATTATTTATTTAAATCCCTTTGAGAGGAAGGGAGAGAGACACATGGATCAGTATGTGCCCCAACTGTGGTGGGGGGTGGGGGGCGGGAGGGCAAACCCAGAACCCAGGCGTGCACTCTGACCGGGAATCGAACCCTCAACCATTTTGTTTACCAGACGATGCTCCGTCCAACTGAGCCGCCCGGCCAGGGCGGCCATGACGGTTCTTAACGCAGACGCACGTGCAGAACCACCCTGCGGGCTTGCGCGGCGTCAGGGCCGAGAACTGGCAGCACCCGACTGCCCCGCTGATTTAAGCTCACAGGCTGCGGGGCTTCCAGCCGGACGGGACCCGAGCGCCCACAGGCTCCGCTCCTGGGCCCCCTGGAGGGGTGGCTAAGGGCACCCAGCTGGCTGGTCGAGTCTCAGGGCGAGGCGCAGGGCCAGAGCTGACTGCTGGCGCCCGGCATCATTTTCCCATTCGACTGAAAACTCCTGCCCCGGCTGGTGCGGCTCAGTGGATTGTGCGCGGGCTGCGAACCAAAGGGTCGCCGGTTCGACTCCCAGTCAGGGCACAGGCCTGGGTGGCGGGCCAGGTCCTCCATCGGGGGCGCGCAAGAGGCGACCACACATCAGTGTTTCTCCCCCTCTCTTTCTCCCTCCCTTCCCCTCTGTCAAAAATAAATAAATACAATCTTTAAAAGAGAAAAAAAGAACATTCCCCTCAATCCTGGAAACACGGCGAGAGCACGCGGCACGGCACGGCAGCGGCAGGCAGCTTCCTCCCAGGCAGGGCTGCTCCTGCTGCTGCTCCTGCTCCTGCTCCGGAGGGCGTCGCCGTGCCCTCCCCCGCCCGAGCCTGCCTCCTGGGCCCGGGGAAGGTGCTCGCTGGAAACGCAGGGCTGGCGAACAAACGGCCGTCCTTGCAGCCTGGGCTGGCTCCCCGCTGTGCCCACAGCCTGGTCCCCCGCCACCGCCCAGGGGACCCTGGCCGTGTCTGGAGACATTTGATTGTCCTGAGTGGGAGGGGGGCTGCTGCTGGCAGAGGCCGGGAATGCTGCTTCTTCAGGCTGCAGTGCACAGCCTGCACCCCCACCCCTGCCCCCAACGAGAAGCGACTGGACCAGAACGTTCGTGAGGCCGAGGGGGGAAACAGCCCGCAGGCGGGAACCCCCACCCGAAGAAGTTCCACCTGCTCCTCCGCCCCACCCAGGGAGCCTGCAGGCGCCTCCCCAGAATCCCTGGGTTTGGCCTGCGGGGCTCCTGCCGCTCCCACTGGGTGGGGTCCACTTGTGTTTCCAAGGGAAACCGTGCCCCTGAGCATCAGGCTGGGCCGCAGGAGGCCTGGTGTCTCACGGAGGTCACACACGCTTGCCCGTGCCACAAAACGTCACCTGAAAAATCAAGAGTAGTTACGTGTGTGCGGTGGGTCTTATTTCCATGGCACCGCGGGGGAAACTGAGGCTCCGAGAGGGTATGGACTTGCCCAGCATCACGTAGCCACCGACGGCCTTAGAGTTGGTGCTGGGCCCCGGGAGCTCTGGCTCCTTCCCACGGAGCAGTCAGCAGATGGAAGGCAGGTGTGTTTCCCAGCAAATGTGTGCCTCCTCCCCGAAACAGTGCGCTTGGCGCTCTGAGGAAAGAGGGGGGCTCGGGGGTGAAGCCAGGCTGGCCGAGCCAGTGTCAGCCCCAGTGCAAAGGCCACGTGGCACAGGGACCCCGGGCCGGGAGCGGCTCTCCACCACCCAGCCCCTGGCACACAGCCTCCCGGGGAGGAGGCGCTCGGTCCCTCTGAATCCCCTGCCCCCCACCCCCACCCCCACCCCCGCCGCACGTCATCTGTTCCTCCCCCTCCCCCACCCAGGCCCTCGGGAATCCGTTCCGCGGCGCTGGGGACTTATTAAACTGCACCGACTCAGCGCCGACTACCAACGCAGAGCCTGTTGTGACAACCTGTATTTTGTTAGTGAGTGCAGACACACAAGCTGCTGGAAAGGGGGCCTTTCTTCGGGGTTTAAGCTGCTTCCTGTCCCCCGCATCCCAGGGATCTGCCTCCCCAGTTTGCACCGGAGCTGCCCCTGCGGCTCCTGCTCCGGTTAACCCCTTCCTCCCAGCCTCCCTGTGCCGGGGCTCTGGGCCAAGGGGCCAGACACTCTCTGGCTCCAGGCCTGTGGCTGCCACGGATTCATTTTCCTTGGGGGCCCGGGAGCTCCAGGAATTAGTGTCTGAAAGTGCACTGTTTTGTTCAAAACGGCTCCGGGAGGCGGGAGGGCCGGGGCTCGGGACACGCGGTCCTCATTTGCCACTGGTGCGGGCAGGGGGAGGGGCCGGGCCGGGCCCGGGCGCAGCTGCGGCAGCATCGGCGAGGTTTGGCTGCCGGGAGGAATGGGGGCAGAGAGCGCGAGGGAGAAGGGGTGGGACTTGGGGACCAGAGCAGAGTCACGGGGGAGGAGGGAGCAGGTGGCGGCTTGTTTATCTGCTCAGCTGTTTTGTGTCCCGGAGCCTGAGAGAGACAGAAGCAGCTGGGGGGAGAATAAGCAACTGGGCCAGGGGCCCTCTGGTCTGTCTGCCGCAGCCACAGGTTCAGAAACCAAAGCAAGCCCCCCAGAGAGCGACTCCTGGGGGTGCAGCCGCCCTCCAGCCACCTGGGTGTCAGGGCTCCGGTGCCAGTGTCTGCCAGGCAAGCAGCTGGGCAATGCCCTCCCGGCTGAGGTGCGGTGGCTCCTGCAGGGCGGGCGGCCCCATGGGGTCAGCACTGGCGCCGCCTGTGTCCTGCTGGGCCCGAGCCCTGTGCTCCCACCTGTGGGCCGGCGCCATCCTCGGGGACCAACCCAGCTAGCTCCAAGCCTCGGTGTCAGCCCAGACCGAACCCACGAAAACCGTCCCTGGTAGAAATGGGTGGCCACCCCACCCCTCCCCCGTCTCCCTGGGGGCCACCTCTTCAACTGCTCAGGCCGCTGCAGTGCGTGACGTGGGGGTCCCCTTTGCCCCCCTCTGAGCCCCAGGGCGTGTGTAGCCTATGCAGGCTCAATGGTTTGGAAACAAGGCTGGGCAGCCATTTAATTCGCCTGAAGTCTTTTTTTTCCCTCTTTTTTTAGACTTTTTTTTTAAGATTTTATTTATTTATTTTTAGAGAGGGAAGGAAGGGGGCTAGAGAGAGAGAAACATCAATGTGCGGTTGCTGGGGGCCGAGGCCTGCAACCCAGGCATGTGCCCTGGCTGGGAATCGAACCTGCGACACTTTGGTTTGCAGCCCCTGCTCAGTCCACTGAGCTATGCCAGCCAGGGCTTGACATTTTTATTATTGATGTTAGAGAGAGAGAAAGGGATTGAGAGAGAAAAAAAAACGTCAATCAGTTACCTCCCGTACACACCCCAACATGGGATCGAACCCACAACCCAGCAATGGGACCGGGACAGGAATCGAACCCGCAACCTCCTTGGTCTGCAGACAACGCTCCAACCCACCGAGCCACGCCCGAAGTCTTGCGACCCGGTTAACACACATGCCTCCCTCTGCTCCCAGGAAAACGGGGACAGCTTGGTGCTGTAACTACCGCACGACTTCAAGTCTGCTCGTCTCCCCGCCCTGGCTCTTCTCCCGTCTTACCGTTTTCCTCCTGTTTGTTGTTTCAACGAGAGCCTTTGCTGGGGCTTCCCCGTGGACAGTCCCCTCAGAAGTCAGTCTGGTGCTGATGGACTCACTCTGACCCCCGGGTGCACAGAGGGTCTGTTTCTCGGGCCCTGGTCTGGCTGCTGGGGACAGTGTGGGGCACAAAGATGGCTTCTGCCTCAGTTTCCCCGGAGTCAGCGGCTGCCGGTTCACTGAAGCAGCCACAACAATTCAGGGAGGCACACACAGGTCCCCACCCACCACTCGGAGCCGGAGTTCGTGGGGCTTTACGGCGCCCACCTGGCGGGAGGGATGGGGAAGGCTGTGGAGGACTGGCTTGGAGATTTGGGGAGGGAGGGGTCACGAGACTGTCTGTCCGTCTGTACGTCGGTGAGGCAGAGGACCGGTCCCCGGCGGGGAGGCAGCTGGCGTGGGAAGCGCTGGGAGCAGGGGGCCAGGGACTTAGCATCTGGTTAGTACCTGCTCTGCCTTGAACACGGCAGATGTTGCCGGTCGGGCACATCCACTCTCTGGACCCTCCTGTGTCACGTGCTGGATGAGAGGCTCTGGTCCCGGGGTCCTTGTCCGGTCCACGCATTTCCTGGCTTTTAGAACGCTCACTCATTCCCCTTGAGCCCATTGCCTTCTCACAGACCAGGCGGTCCCGTGAACTTCATGGTGGTCAGTAATGCAGCTGGCTGCCATGGCTGTTTCCCCAGACCCAGAGTCCCTGGCTGCAGCCCCAGCTGAAACTCTCATTCATGCTGGGGAAGCTTCGGAAATTCCCTGGCTCAGGCCGAGGTCAAGGATTCCCAAGGGCAAGAAGAGCCAGAAGAGCATCCCCGGCCCCTCCCCCAGAGCCCCCTCCCGGAAGAGCACCCTGAGCCGGCTTTACTAAAGGTCGGGGTGCTGCGTCTTCAGGGGCATTCCGCCCAACGCACCCATTGCTGGTGCTGAGCCCTCATCTGTGACCAACACGGCGGGACCCAAAGGGGTGTAGAACGTGGGTGACCTCGTCTGGACCCCAAGACAGTTGACTGATCGGCTGGTGGCCAGGATGCAGAGTGCACGTGGCTGTGTACACGGGAAAGCCGCCTCGAGTGTGGTTAATGAGTGGAGCAAGTGACGGAAACCAGGGGGAAGTGTCCTAGTATCGGCAGCAGGACTCGTGATTAGAACGTCTCTCTTGCCGGGATGCATTTGGTTGGGAGTTACAATGTGTAACCTGAAGTGGCCTGAACAACAGGACTTATCCCACCTCACAGAACACAGCAGTGCTTCCTGGGAAGCTCAGGTCTAGGCTCTTCTTTCTTAGGAATTCAGGGAGGATTGATTATGTCAGCGGATGGTTGGTTATATCAATTCAACAACAAGACGACTCCCCAATTTGGGGCGTGGTGAAGGGGATTTTATTCAGTGCAAACAGCTCAGCTGTGGCTGAGCATGGCTGTGTGAGGCAGCCCAGGACCCTGCCCCCTCTCCAGCTGGACAGCTCTGCCTGCTTAGGTCTGGCCGGGTCTGGCCCACTTGCCCCCACTCCACCCCACACCAGGCTCCACTGTAAACACAACAATCTGTGGAAAAAGAAAATGCACTCTGGGAGTCACCGGAGAGCTGACTTATATAGTCAGAAGTCCCCACCCCTGGTCCCTAATTGGTCTGTCCTTATGCAAATAAGGACTCCTCATCGTTTGATTGGTCCAAAAGGCACTGTCTTGATTGGTCAGAATACTGCCACTCTGATTGGCTAGTGAAAATGCCAATGGGGCTATAGCTGCAGCTCCTGTGGGGGAAGTCTCAGTTCCCATTGGTTGAAACAGGATCCCAGGAGCTCCTCTACAAGGGCTGCTCCCCGAGTGAGGTTTGTGGGGGGCCCCTGGGCAGGAACGGCTGCTAGGCTCTGTGTTTATTTGTATTCTTGTTTTTTAAAATTTGAGTCCAGTGAGCCACCAGTCCTTCTTGGTAGGCATGCTCTTT